AGCCAAGATTGCACTGCCACTGCACTTCAGCCTGGGCAACACAGCAAGACTCCGTCTCAAAAAAAAAAAATCTGAAATACTTCAGGCATGCAAGTATTCAGCATTCAGTATTCATAATGTAACAAAAACCTATGAAGCACCACCCAGTTTAAGTAACACCGGCAGGGCAGGGTGCAGTGCCCATAATCCCAGCACTTTGGGAGGCCAAGCCAGGAGAATCACTTGAGGTTAGGAGTTCCAGGCCAACCTGGGCAACACAGACCCCATCTTTACAAAAAATTTAAAAAATAGTCCGGGCGCAGTGGATCATGCCTGTAATCCCAGCACTTTGGGAGGCCAAGGTGAGCGGATCATGAGGTCAGGAGTTCGAGACCAGCCTGGCCAACATGGTGAAACCCGGTCTCTACAAAATTTAGCCAGGCGTGGTAGTGGCCACCTGTAATCCCAGTTACTCAGGCTGAGGCAGGAGAATCGCTTGAACCCAGGAGGCGGAGGTTGCGGTGAACCAAGATCACACCACTGCACTTTACCCTGGGTGACAAAGTGAGGCTCCATCTCAAAAAAAAAAAAAAAGTAACACAGGAAATAAAACCAAGACAAGATGAGCTCTCTGTGTGTCCCTCCCCAGACCCAACCCTGGCGTCCCCCAGAGGTAACCCCTCCCAGGAACTGGGCGTTTGCCACTCCCCTGCATGGGTCTACACCTCTACTACAAACGTGTGTCCCTAAGCAGCGCGTGCCTTTTGAAAACAAGTCAACTGTATCATGCTACAATATTTTTTCTGATGTTTGTGCTGTTTCTGAGACAGCCTTATGACGCCTTCCCCTATTCTGTAGCATTCTGTTGGCTCATTTTGCCACAGTGTATGCACCCATTCTCCCATGAATGGACTTTTCATTTGTTTCTCAATGTTTGCTACCAAAAATCTCCCTGCAATGAATTTATTTTATATATCCCTCGTATGTGTGTGTGAGGGTCCCCTAACTGCTCACAAATATCTCAGCAACTCCGCCCTCCCCACTCAGACCTCATTTCCCTCCTACCAGACATGCTCAAAGGAAACTGGGAGCAACACAAAGACGACTTTGAATCTCTGTTCACCACCCTTAGACTGTATGACACCAGCAAGTGACAACCTCCCCTCTCTGGCCTCAGTTTCCCCCTCTGTAAAATGGGAGATGGCCTACCTTGTCCAGTCATGGCAGGTCAATATAAAACAACTTCTGGCTGTGCGCAGTGGCACATGCCTGTAATCCCAGCACTTTGGGAAGCCGAGGCAGGAGGATTGCTTGAGGACAGGAGTTCAAGACCAGCCTGGGCAATATAGCAAGATCCCATCTCTCTAAAAAAAAAAAAGAAGAAAAATATATGTTATTATTATTATTATTTGAGATGGAGTTTCACTCTTGTCACCCAGGCTGAAGTGCAATGGTGTGATCTCAGCTCACTGCAACCTCCACCTCCTGGGTTCAACTGATTCTCCTGCCTCAACCTCCTGAGTAGCTGGGATAACAGGCATGTGCCACTACATCCAGCTAATTTTTGTATTTTTAATAGAGATGGGGTTTCACCATG